AACAAATTTTCAACAAATGCTCGTGGATCCATTTGTGATAATAGAAATTGAATTGTAAAATCAAGATAATAATGTAAAAAAATGTAGAAGAGGATTATAGAATAAATGAATGAAAGGGTTGATAATGATTTGTAAATTGTAGAGAGTAGAAAGTAGAGTAGAGTAGAGATTAGAGAATGAAATTGTGAAAGTTTGGTGAGAAAAAATTGTTGTAATAGGTAAGTATTTATAGGAGAAGAAAAAAAATAAATAAAAAAAAATGTGAACAAACGGTCACTGAAAAATCAGTGACCATTTGGTCACTTTTGTTGTTTTTTTTTTATTTTTTTTTATATACGAGCCTGGCTCGTGGGCTCGCCCCACGAGCTGCTCGCCGAACAGCTCGTGAATAGTACGAGCCAAGCCGGCTCGGCTCGTCTTGCGATTGACATATTTCTTAAACCGCTCGACTCGATTGACATCCATAACCACGTCTTTGTTTCATGTACCGGAGATTACCTATTTGCAGTCATCAACGGAGATACCGCTCGTGTTCAATCCTTGTTCAAAATTATTTCATATTTTTTAATCACACATTGCCCTAAAATTCATTATTCAAAATATTGTTTTTCAGAAAAAAAAAAATAACCATCAAAAGAGGTTTAAGAACACAACAATCTAAACTAAGGAAACAATAAGACATTATTTGATTCTATTTTTCCAAAATACGGTTTTCTCTTTCTTCTTTATAAATACACATTTTTAATAAAATAATTTTTCTGTAAACTTTTTTTTTATTTTTCAATCACACGTTTTTCATCAATTCACTATTTCAAAATGTATTCTTAACATTTTAACGAGGTTCTAACGTTGCCAACTTTTCCTATTACCGTTGTGAGGGCAATAGTATAATTTTACAAAGACAAAGTCGCCTCTAACGTTCGTGGCTTCATCCCATAGGTTGACTGATTTTCCTGACACGTCGCCTGCTTTTTCACATGCGAACTCGAAATTCTTCAAATTTACGGTTTTGCCATCCACGTCATACGCTTCTCCAAAACCCTAAATTCCCGACCCAAAAATGAATTTCCAAGAAGCCACCCATCATCCACTATCAATTTTTTGCCACGTATCCAACACTTCTCATCTTCATCGTTCATGCCAGATGTGACGGTCAACCCCTAAAGCCAGCAAACTGATTTATTACAACCCTTCGATCGACAGAACATGTTAATCAAAGGTTCAGATTCTGCCCTTATTTGTCACGGGCAGATCTCATTGCCTTTAAGAAGCCTAGCCCTCTTCTTCTCATACTCGCTCAATTCCTTCGAACCCTCACTCAATCATAAATACTGCCCTTTCTTATTTTTTCTATAAATTATCGGCTGCCGGCGATCATAATATTTTTGGGAAGATTCCAGCTAGTGCATGGTCGAAAAGTGAAAATTCAGTTGAATAAAAGTGTACATGTTTTTCGATCGGAGATTCGCCGAAGCTGAGGTGAGCCCCGCCGCTATTATTCATGGCATATGCTGTCTTAGCTAGTCAGAATGAATCGAGCTGAGCACGTATGGGGGAAAATTCCGTGCTCAAATCCTCACTTGAATTCAAACCCTAACCCTAACTCAAAGAAAAAGCAAAAGCGATTCCACAATTCAAGCAGTAATGGAGGCGGCCGGTACAACGATGATTTTCCGTCTGCAACGCAGGCTGCTTCCGACGATGCTTATTCATTCAATCAGACTAGTACAGCGGTGAGTAGTGGATTCAACCACGGCGGGTATCTAACCTACAATCTTGCCTCGTACACAAAATCGGAGCTTTTAGAGCTCCGCAAACGCTTTGCTGCCGAGCTTGAACAGATCCAGAACCTGCGCGATCAAATTGACTCCGGTCAATTCAACGTTACCAGTAGCAGTAACAATCCTGGGCCTCAAGGCAAAGTGAAGAAATTATCTGTTAACAAACGGCCTGGAGCCCCAGTTGGATCCAATAAGGATCCAAAGAAATCCTGCAATGGATTTCTTGATAATGGAAATTTAGGGGTGGTGAGTGCAATTGATTGTGAGGGTATGCTAAAAGAATGCAGGCAGATTTTGACGAAATTGATGAAGCACAAGAACGGGTGGATATTCAACAAGCCTGTTGATGCGGCTGCTTTGGGGCTTCACGATTATCATCAAATTGTGAAGCGGCCGATGGATCTGGGTACAGTGAAGTCAAATCTGGCCAAGAATTTGTATTCTCATCCTGCTGAATTTGCGGCCGATGTGAGGCTGACTTTTAATAATGCCTTACTGTATAATCCAAAAACTGACCAGGTTAATGGGATGGCGGAGCAGCTGTTAGTGAGGTTCGAGGAATTGTTTAGGCCAATTAAGGAGAAGATTGATAGTAGTAATACTCAACGGAGAGAAAGGGAGCTTAGAGAATTTTGGGATAATGATGAATTGCAAGGGAGTCAGTGGACTAATCATAGACAGGTTATGGCATCTTCCCCAGTAAGACGAGGAAAGAAAGGTAAACCAACATCAAGCCCGATTCCAGTTCATCAGGCTTCAAAGAAGCCGGAGAGAACGCAAGCGAAAAATCAATTGAGTTCTTTGGTGCCTCCAGCTCCTCCACCATCATCGAGTCCTCCAGTACATGCCCAAACTCCATCTCCTGTCAGAGTTCCATTGCCTGCAAAGGAACAGAAAGTTGGGAGGGTAGTGACAGTGAAGCAGCCAAAACCGAGGGCAAAAGATCCAAATAAGAGGGAGATGAGTATAGAGGAGAAGCACAAGCTCGGTAATGGGTTGCAGAGTTTGCCTCAGGAGAAGATGCCACAATTGGTTCAGATCGTAAGGAAGAGGAATGCACATTTGGGGCAAGATGGTGATGAAATTGAGCTTGACATTGAGGCCCTCGATACTGAAACTCTTTGGGAGTTGGATCGGTTTGTGACCAATTGGAAGAAAATGGTGAGTAAGACTAAACGGCAAGCATTGATGATGAGTAACAATCCTGCTGCTGAAGCTACTGCTCGAACCACACACAATGCAGAGGATGACATGGTAATTATTAATTCAACTTTTTATTTTTCTAATGTGCAATGGCAAAACGGTTATCTAGGACTAATGATATCGTGTTGATTTTTATAGGGTGAATTAAGTGAGGGAAATGACATGGGAAAGAAGCCGAAAAAGAATGAGGATGAGGATGTGGATATTGACGATGATATGCCTGTGACAAGCTTTCCTCCCATCGAGATCGAGAAGGATGAAGGGGGTGGAGGTGGAGGTGGAGGTCATGATCAAGGCAATGCCAGTAGTAGCTCTAGTAGTTCTAGCAGTTCCAGTAGTGATTCATCGTCTTCCAGTGGTATTGATTCTTCCATTTCTGAATTATGTTGAGAATTTGTTGCTCGGAATTGAGATATACAATGCTCATATCCCGAGCTTCCTTCTCTTGACAGGTTCTGATTCAGGGAGTTCCTCCAGTAGTGACTCTGATGCAGACGATGCACAGTCCTGACATCTCGGTTAAAGCCTTTACAAAGATTTGAGTCTTAACCGATCAAAAATGGCACTTTGCCTTAGAATGGGTTGCTACATTAGGATAGTAGTGATAATTAAGGTAAGCATATTTTCATTTTCAACGTGTGTGTGTTGCCTAGAGAGACGAGCTGAATCTTTTGACCCACCTTTTGCAGAGTATTGCAAAGATGCCAATATGGGAAAGCTGAATGGAATTATGGGAATCTGGTTGAGCATTGAAGTTGCATTAGAAGTAAAAGTAGGAGGTTGGTTTGCGTTTAGTGAATGCAGGGTAGGTTAGAGTGTAGATATAGTTGAGATACTGTTGTACAGTGATTATGTTGTATATGTTCCCAGTGTTTTTGATGCAATTGAAAGAAAATAAGGTCAGTCTTGATCTGAATTCAATTGTTGTAGTTTGAATACGAGTTTTGGGGGAACAAAATGTGGGTTGGGTTATGAGAGAGAGAGGTTGGCAGGCATGATTTTGGTGGGATACAAGAAGAAGAAAGCAAAAGTAAGATTGATATTTCTCAATCACGTCACTTGCTCTACAAGAACTTTCTTGCTTGGTGCTGGTGTAAATTAATTCAAGCAAGTTGGCAAATATACTTTGGTACGCATCAAATTTCATCTGTTGTTTGGTGGAATTCAGAACCCATTTCAAAGATGCAATAAAGGGCCATTTTTCCAGATTCTTTTAGCATGGGATAGTGCGCAAGACAACCTTTTTTCGGGTAAAATTAGATGCCTTGTTGAAAAGAGAGACTACAATTTCCAATGAAATTAATTAACCAACAAAAGAACTGAGAGCTAAAGAATAAAAAGGAATAGTTACTCTCTAAATTTAGCGTCTATCAGGATTCAGGAGTATAATTTGTGAGTTCGTATATTTCCCATGACGGGCATATCTGATTTGTTGTCCTCCGAAGCAAAAATACTGCCAATACATGAAAGGGCATTATCTAATGCCTCTTTCGTTTGGTCAAGACTTAAAAAGACGTGCTCTTATTATGGATTGATATGTTGTCCTTCGAAGCAAAAATACAGAAAATACATCGAAGGGCATCGAACTCGACCTGGTATTTGGATGAGAAATTTATTTCGTTGAATTTGAACTCCCTACGAATATGTAAGCGCAGATATTTCCTATTTTCTTTGAAAAGAATGGCGAAACTACTTCAAAGGAAAAAAGAGCTTATACATCGTCTACTTCTATTCAATACTATTAATGGAACATGCCGCAAGCATACATAAGTGAACGAAGGCTAATTATAGAAGTCAATACATGGGTGAAAAATACACTAACTAGTTTGGCTCAAAATTGAATGGTCCTACAACTTGGAATGGACCAGTGACTGAAACAGACATTTAAGATTGAACAAGAAAACTGTATAACATCTTGCAATTAAGTGGTTTGACAAGTAAAAAACAGTTTCTAAGGTCAATGGAGAACCATCGAACTTACCTAGGAGTAATGCCATCAGACATCTTCTCAATCTTAGCAGTAAATGGAAGCTAAACGAGCCCCGTGAATACAGCTTCCAGCAGACCTGACGCTTCTATGTATTAGCGTTCCTGTTTCTTCAAAGCAAGAAATGTCTCTCCAAGTTGAGATTCACAACCAGCATGACCATCTGGCTCCAAAGCTTTAAGAAACGACGCAATCAGATTATGAGCAGTTAAAATTTGGAATATCTTGGTACAGAACTTGCGCACATCAGCTCGTCTGGACTGCTTTTCGGGCATGTTGGTCACTAACTGCTTGATTAGATGGCATATCTTTGGAAGATGACTTTTCAACATCTTTAATGCATTCTTCCCACTTTCATCAGCATGAGAAGAGAGGAATGATTTTAAAATCTCCGTCACCAAATCGAGAGCTTCAACTTGTCGAAACTGTGATTTTGCACTCCCGCATCTCTCCAAAAGAAAACCAAAGAAGTGATGCCCAATCCAAGGTCGTCTTTTAAATATTTCTTTTAAAAAATCAGATTTCATCTGCGACTTTTTACTATCAAAATAGGCCACTAATGCAGCTTCAAAAATATCAAATATCCTCTGCAGTTCAGAGTATGAAAAATTTCTTGCATCAACAATCTTTAAAATCCAAAATGTCGAACTTTGAGCAAGTGAACTTATCATTTTGTATCGATTCCAGGAGGCAGATTGCTTTTTCTTTGATGGATTGGAAGCAGATTTTTTCCTCTTAAAAGGCTTTGCTGCCAACTTCAAGTTCTTCTCCAAAAGCAATTCAAGTAAAGAAAGCTGTACAGATTCGCCTCTCGGATAGTCCTTCGCTTTAAATATTTTCTTTTGCAGTATACCCCAAATCCGCTGGCCGAGCTGTTCACTAACTTCTGTGGTATGTGGATTTAAGAATGCTTGAGCAAGGTGCGAGAAAACTTTCAGTACCTGTGGTTCACCTGAATACAAGAAAATCTGAATATCCTACTACTTGCAAAGATGAATGAGGAGAATCGAAATATTTGACGCCCACATAGGAAAATATCGCAACGAAGAAAACAAGTATATTCACAAAATGAATGATTTAATTTGTAATTAAATCTATCCATGTACTTAATATGAGGACGGGTCTGGTATTGCCAGATTGAATAACATGGTCCAAATGGCCAAAGGAATCCAAAGGGAAATGATGCAGAAATCAGCCTTTGCTATTTATGCAAGGAAATTTTGAGGAACCACAAGTACACACGACAATACAAAACTTGCCTGGATTTTCATGTAGGTAAATCTCCAGCAAAGAGAGAACTCGAAGCTTGAAGAGAACAAGCTGAGAATGGGCAGTTTCACCTCCAGCTTGGTTCTTCCTTTCCCTGAAAATTCGTGCAAGATAAGTATCCATCCTGAACATTGCATCGTCATCCATTCCCTCATCAGAATCATCATCAGAATCATCCGGAATCTCCGTGTTTTCAGTCCCAAATCCAACTACTGCCTCAGAATCATCTGTTTGCTCATCACTTTCACCAGTTTCGCCAGTCTCAGCCACATCAGATTCCACTGCTTCTTCAATAGCAAGAATATCATCATCGGCATCGCCTTCATCTTCACTATCTGTATCCTGGTGTCTAGCTGGTTTTAAATCCTTTTTGATAACCCGCAACATCCGAAGCAACCCATCATCCGTAACATCTTTACAAAAATACTTGAAAACCTATAAAGACATTATTGTAACCAATAATCATAAATCTGGATAATAATAGGAGCAACTAGTGACTGATTTAAAATATGCAACTAGCTATCGATTGTCTGCACATTTGATATGCATGAAAGAGCAAAATAAGTAATATTCAGATTAAAATGTGGAGAATCAGTCTACCAAGGATACACAATATAATGTTGACGGTCATAACTCTCCTTTGTTTTCGACAAAGAAACAACATATTCTTCTTTTATATAACTGGGGGAGAAAAAATTCACACAAAAATTCTAAGTTGAGATGCACCAATTACTTGACAAAGGCACATAACAAATCAGTAAATATGTTGTTCCTAATGTGAAAGACTAACCTAAGAATATAAATCTACTATATGCAACATATTTGATGAAAAACTTAAATATGAACAGATTGGGGAAAACTGGGCCACCCTGTTATGGTTTGGTATATGGGATGAATCATCTTTAAGAAAAAGGAAAATTGCAGCTGTGGTCCCAAACCTTTCACTTAGTTGCAGATTGTACCCAAACATTTCACTTGTTGCACCTATAGTACCAAACATTTCATTTCATTGCAACTGGACCATCTATTAGTTGACCAAAAAATTAAAAAAATTACTGGTTTTCTATAGCAATCCAAGAGAAGCAAGAAAATGAACCCACTAAGAAACTAAAGTATTATCAAGAAATCAACAAAAACATTACAAAAATAAAAAATAAAAAAATCACTAAACCAAGTTAAGAAAAGAAGGAAAATTGTTTAAGAACTTACAATATTTGATCTGAAAGTAGAATCTAGGAATATGTGAAGAACTTTATGGTACCGAGTGTTCTGACTAGTAAGGGAGGGAGCAAAGATGATGAACAATTGTTTGGATAACAGATGGAAGTATGTAGCAGTTCTTGATTTGTTAGGACCTAGGATTATATAAGAATCTAAGTACAATATTATCTTCTTTTAATGTTTAAAAAAAAAATTCTGAGATGGCTGGTGGCGGTGAGGGTATGTGGATTTGGTTGGTTTTGGTTGTGGTTGGGGTTGGGGTGGGGTGGATGATGAATAGTAATTCTTTTTATTTATTATTTTATGAGAAAAATGTAAAGTTACAATTTTATCCTTCTTTTAATTGGTAAAAAAAAGTCAATTTTTTTAGTTTTTTGGTCAACTAAAGGTCAAATGTATGAAATCCATCCATTTGTCCTCCAAATGCAATGAAATGAAAGGTTTGGGACTGTGGATGCAACAAGTAAATGGTTTGCCCAGCCCTCCTTTATTCTAGTCCAATCGGAGAGGGGAAAAGTCCCATCCGTTCCAGAAGTCGTAGAGAAACGGAAGGCATAAATACCAAACGGAGGCCCCAATTGGTAGGAAAAAAAACCCCTTGGGGTTATCCTGCACTTGGAAGCAAAAGTAGAAAAGTGAATAAATACAGTGATAATCGACCCCGACTGCAATTTTCCCTTAAGAAAATGTTGGTTCTTCAATATGCTAACCCAGCTCACTGGTAGGGCTCAAACTTATCCGTTAATCATGGGAAAAAACATTAAGATAATATTGGTTCTTCAATATGCTAAACACGGTTCACTTATAGCAATTCACATGTATGATAAGAAAAATATTGATATCATCAATGCTTTGAAAAAGTTATATTCGTACCTACAAATCTACCTGGAGTCTGGAATAAATATGAAATGTACCTTACAACAATCTTTAGCAATAAGCACCTCTCATCTTATCTTAATTAAGATTTCAATTTCCCATGGTTGGGAATTCATTAAAGACGTTGGAAGGCAATACTTTAACTATTATTGAGGATTTTAACATAACAAAATAAATGAAAACCTGCTCAACCTAGTAAAGCAATATAACACAGAAATTTAACAGAACAGTTTTTACAGAATCAAAAGATTTTCTAAAGATGAGGGAAGGAAATGGAAGGAGAGGGAAGGTGGACAATAGTCATCTAAATAATCAGTCACACCATGGGTAACCACATACAGTGTTCTGTCACGTACCTGCTCGATAGAAGATCGCATAGGAGCTGATGACTGTGGAAGCAGGGAAAGCATTGTGTCTACAAGAACGTCCATTAACTCGGGTGTACCATCTTCACCAGATGATTTCAGAAGATCAGAGGGGCCAAAAGCTTTCTTGCAGCACATAATAAGTTCAGAAGCAGCTTCGGAGAATTCCCCAGGTCGGACTAGGATTTGAAGCAGCAGTTGGATTAGCAAATACCTCATGGCATGACTTTTACTCACGTCCATGCTAAGATTAAAATTTCCTCCCTAAAGACATCAAAGGTTAACGAAATAGTTTTATTCATCTATTAAAATATGATTATTAATAAAACAAAATGAGGATTTATTTGAAAGTTAATCTGTGAGTGCATTGTCATGCATCACAACCAGAATCCAGGTATAGGATGTAAACCGAAAAGGATAAGAAATAAGAGGGAATCAATATAGGAGAATTTTTTCTACACACCACAACAAAGATCATAAACACAGCACCCCTCCCTTCCTAACATGAAGATTAATATAATAAAATGAACGAGGAAAAAATATTAAAAGATTGTGAAGAACAATGTGGAGATACTCTTTACAGTGGGAAATATCAAAAGCATGGAATACCTGTCTCGATAACTGACTCTGCTTTGCTTCCAGTTTCGATAACTCTTTTTGAAGATTTTTGAATGCTTCATCGTCATCAGTGCTCAAGGCCCTTGACAATGAAACTGAAGGGATGTTGCATAATATACTCAGAAACCTCCTAAAGTAAGATCCAAGATCATTTGTCTCAAGACCACATGCCACCGCATGAGGTGTTTCCCCCTCCTGAGCATCTGGAAGCAATAACTGTAGGTGTTCCCCTTTCTGAGCATCTGCAAGCAATAATTGTAGCTGTTCAATGCATACAGTGCATAACGCACTAGAAATTGCCAACCTTGGCCACCTAAGCTTATCCTGTAACTCGAAAGACGTCACTTCTGTCCCAATAGCCGAAGAGAATAATCCTTGAACAGACAGGAAATTCAGAATTTTCTTTTGCTCGTGGAACCTTGCATCCGGATCTAGCTTTGATTGCTTCAACACACTGGGAAGAGATTCAACAACCCAGGTTCTGAGAAAATCAGGACTTCCCATATTTCCAACAGAATCCATATCTTCCATGGAACCCATCTCCGAATTGTCATCTGTTGTTTGACTCTGATCTGATGGTTCCTCTGAAGTATGACCTTCTTCTAGAAACATGGTCATCAAATTTTCAATGAACAGATCGCATCCCGACTTCAAATCTGACATCAGATCTTTAACTGTTTTTGACCTGGTGATGCAATCGAATTTTCCGTTGGTGTTTTTCTGGAGAGCCACAATAACTGCAACTCTCCTGGCATCATCATGCTGGACCCACTCAGACAATTCTTTAATAAAATGTTGTGCAACTTTGAAAAGCCATGAATCTTTGGTTGCAAGTACATCCATAAGACACTGGACAACTTTATAGGACAACACCACATGCACACAAGACGCAGGTAGCTTCGGCAGTAGAAGCAACATAATATCAAATGCTAAGTTCTTCCGATCATGCGAGGACGTCAAGAGTGATCCTTCAATAACAACTTCAAAAAAGCATTTAAGATTTTTCTCGACATCTTCAAGTGAACTACCCTTGCGACCTCTTTTGTGCTTCTTTGTGGTACTTGGACCTGACACAAAGTTTACATCTTGCACAACAGAGTCGGGGAGGAGAATATTTACCAAAACAGGCCAGACACTGTGCACCCGAGGCAAACAAAAGGTGGACTCCTACGATATTTATGATAAATAGATCAATTATATATACATGACATATCAAGATTCTCCCCTTCTTAGGGGTAATAACATAAAAAAAATATGAACATCACCTTTAAGCAATTAGAAATGGCAGACAAATGATCAGCAGAGAAAAGCCTGCTTTGATTATATGGAGAAGGCAAAAGCTTGGAAAATGCTTTAGCATCAGCGCCAATTTTTTCTTGCATTTTAATGGCTAGAAGCAAAGCATCAGGATTTCCAACTTCTGTTGCTCCTTCAAACCACTCCTGAACTCCTGGTGCTTCCAGAACATGATTCAACAGGGCTTCAACAGGTAACTGAGACACCATTTCAAACATCAATGTTCTAGATGAATGATAACAGAACCTTCAAGTTACGGAGAAGAAGGAACAACAAGAAAAACTTAAGTGACAACATTAAACGTTGGAATAAATTATGGAATGTAGAAAACCATGGAACTAATAATTTAAATCCTCCAGTTTATCATCAATTATATTTATGTGAACACATCTGTTTTTATGTATGCATGTACATAATATAACTGTAATGACTAACCACCAGAAGAAAATTGATTATTATCCATACATTACCACCACAATGCTGACACAAACTGATAGAACAACATGAAATATGGGTAATGAAATCAAGGAACATCTCTGCCATTATACTTACTATAAAAAAAGAAAAATGCAAAATATCTTTTCTGATTAACTTCTGACTGAGACAAGTTGTCAATGACCTATTTACTTTTCCGGCAAAAGCCATTTGTTGCATATTCTACAATGGCGTAAGAACTTATAATATATTACACTATCATTCCTACAACTGTCCACCATGAGCTTTTAAACATTTCAAACAGTAAATCTTAACAATCTAAGGAGCATTCCCAGATCACTACGAGCAGGCAAAATCGTTGGACTTAACGTCAATGAAAAATCATGGTATTACTTATTCCTTCATAACAGAAAAAATCAAAGTCAAGGGAATGGCAATGGCAATGCCTCTCCCATACCCCCCCACCCCCCAAAACAATGACCATAAGCTTTCCTTAAAGATAAGATTACCTTCTCAACCATTTCCATAATAACTAAGACAGCAGACTCTTGTAAGTATCGCTTCTTAGCTGCAAGAGATATAAGACAACTAGTAAATTCTTTAATATAAGGAGTGTTGCTATCCATAATCCATTCTTCAGTCAGTCTTCCAGATCTTGCCAGAGCTCCATATGCAAACAAGCGGCCCAACAGGTAGTCTCTTGCTTCCTACAAAACCAGCTAACTTTTTTACACAGAGAAAATGACAATAGAATTAAATCATTCAACATAATCAAACAACATTACCCACCTGACCCTTCATTGAAGAGGAGATCTCCAATAAATTAACGATTAGCTTTAATAAAGACTCCACTTTGATGCTAGAAACTGTGCCTACTAAAATTGTAAGACCCAGTGCAAATCCTTGTCTTGCACACTGCAAAAGAAAGGAGAAAAATCACATTTAGGCCATAAGTTTTGCAGAAAAGTCAGAAGTAGTAGATAATTAGACAAATTTTGACACATTCTTTACAATAAAAAATTGCACACACACGTCCAAGTAACGCCCCACGTCATTAATACAGTAGAGACATCTTATGTCATCTTTGTAAATGAGATGAATTATCTAAAACTTCCTCCGTAAGCATACTTTAGATTGGGATTGAATCAATTATTACTGTGTAGAGCCATATGAAATAAGTGTATATGCCTCTTAAGTATTAGTATAAAATACAAAGTTATTAAAAAAATTCTCTGCAAGCAACTCCACGGAAAGGGAAAAAAATAAAGGCCTGCATAAACAAGAGCCAAAATTTTAACTTCTAATTTAGCAGTATCTGCAAAATAGATGTTTAAGAAATTTAATGGACAATCTGATAATAAGGTGTGGAAATTATTCAGTGTAAGAACCAATGGACCATTATGAAGTACCAATACAAAGTAGAAAAAGGACAGTTACTAGTTATACAAGCAAAAAAGTGTATATCCCATTCCTTTCCCCTACAAAGAAATGTTGATTCCAATAATGAGTAGGTTGAACATTGATAAGATGGACAATGAAAAATAAAAAATCAGAATGACTGAATCTTGTAAACAAAAGGCAGATATTGTTTATTTGTTTATATAACATTGTAGGGAAACCATAATTCATTTAACTATGCACAATATCTTCCTACATACAGAACCATAACAGTTGAAGAGAGCTGAAAAGAAACAACTTAAAATAACAGAAAAAAACACACCTCTCTTGATGAGGAAATCCCACGAACGAGTCTCCGAACAGCATACCTCAAGGACGGGGCGCAATTATTCAACCCATCATCCTTCTCAGCTTCCAATTTCAGTGCGTCCTCCACTACTTGCTTATCCTCCAACATATCATAAACTTTCTGAACTTCCAACAACTCTGAAACTAGGGCCTCAGCCGCTGTTTCCCTCACACTTGCATCAGCTGCCGAAAGGTCCTTAAACACCCCAATGTGGAACTCAGGCAACACAGCAGCACCACCACTACTACTATGAGTTATACTCTCGTTTTTATTCTTTCCTAATTCTAAAACAGTTTTTCTAGGGGAGCCATGGTGTCTTTCTTTGTCTAACGATTTTCTTTTCTTTTTTCTTTCCATTGAATTCACAGAAGGCTTATGAGTAATTGAGGGGGTTGATAGCGCATTCACTTCATTTTGATCCTCGTCTTCATGAGTTTCAGTTTCTTCTCTCTTTTTCTCCTTTTTCAATTTCTTTTTAGACGGTTCGGGATTAGCATCTTCATTCCCCGAACTCAATTCTTTCTCTTTTACTGTTTCTGCTTCTTCTATGGAATCGGCCACTCTTTTTTTAATCCCCATTAAAGAAAAACGGTAATTATCTGCAAAGTTAAGAACACTGACATTATGAATCTATCAATTAAATCAAAATAATTAATGAATATCAGGCGGGTGTATATGTACACAGAAATCTTACCAGTGGCTTTGAATATTGAGAGGATAGACAAATTCTGAGAGAGAAGGGGCAAATGCAAAATCTAGGGTTTATGACGTGAATAGGATTAGGATTAGGGCACCAGAATAGACGAACTGCTGCTTCTTATAAGAAAACTGAAAACTGATAAAAATAGCACTAACATAATTTACTTAACGAATTAAGACTTTAATGAGTTTATGAACTTAAGATGCATGTTTAAATGTTGAGCATCTTATGTCGTATTTGGTGGTATTTTTTTGAAAAATATTATTTTAAATAATGATTTTTTGAAGAATGTATAGTTAAGAAGTATAAAAAAATTTTGAACTTACTTATAAAATATTTTGTCTTGTTTGATCCACATTATTTTCAAAATATATTTTTCATTCTCTTCTTTTCAATCACATTTTTCAGTTAAATATCATACGTGAACTCAAATTTTTTACTTATTTTTTAATCACACATTTTTCATCAATCTACTATTTCAAAATGTGTTCTAACTATAAAATGGAGCTCAAACAAGCTCCTTATTAAAGGTTAAACCCCAACCTTGATGGTCTCGTTCCGCTCCTAGAGCATTGTGGATGAGGTAAATCGCAGGATGTGCCTCAACAAATTATGGTACAAAAGATATCATACTCGTGCCCACAAAGAATCTAATTCCATACCTTGTAAGAGGCAGGAATCGAACCTTCACATTGCAACTGTCAACTCAATTGAGACTACCTCACTCATGTCATTTGCACCACTGAACTATGCCACGGGGGCTCAAACAAACTTTTTATTGTGTGAATGTGTAGTTGAAAATGAGTACATACAAAAAGAGTCGAAAGAATAGAAGACAAATAGGGGCTAATTAATATTAAAATTGTGGTGCAATTAATAAAGTGGATTCACATCACATTTTGTTTTTATAAATGCATTATATTAAATGTTACTATTGTTAACCTTTATTTGTTATCATATTTATATACTTAATTTTTTACTTCATCACATTCTTATTTTTAACATTTCATTTATCAAAAAATAGTAACCATGATTTTCATCCAAAAATATTGTTGACGTACTTTAAAATTAGGATAAAATATTTAATCGTATTTTAATATTATTATTTGTTTTGCTTATTTAAAAATACAATGGACAAATGAATCTTTTTACTTTATTTTAAAGAAAATTTTGGATAGAACATAATCAAAAGCAATTTATGTTAATTTGAAAATAAGAATGCAATGAAAAAATTTGAGATGTAACTATGATGATGTGCAAAAGTTATAAATCTTTCATGCAATTAAAATGTAATCTAATTATTAAAAATTGTGGTGTGAATAAGTCCATGTCTAGCAAAGATTTAAAATTAGATTTTTAGCAGATTTTGATCAAAGTTGATGAAATGTGTGATTGAAAAGTTGTGGGTCCCAAAAAATGTATGGTTAAAATTAATTGTTGAGTTTGACTTGAGATTTTAATTGAATTTTAATCCAAACTAAATAGGGACTTAGTTCTTAGTTTTAATAAAAAAAACAGTGACGTGAATATAATTACCCTCTTAGCAAACTTCAACATTTATATATAGACTAAAAAGGACAAAAGTTACACTTTTGTGATGAAGTGAAATCATGACACAATTTTACTCATGGCCTCTTGAACAACAAGTCGAGCAACGTAACTTTTTTGCTTTGGCATCAATATATTTTACAAAATGTATAGGTAGCGATAGACCAAAAATTTCTTGTTTGATAATGGAGATGTCACGTAGTAAAGCTATATAGTTGAAATTATATTGGTTCATTTAGGAATTGGGTTTTTTAATATATTTTTAGGAAATTGATGGTATCCTCAAACCATTGCCTTTCTTTAGTTATGTAAACAATAATCCTTAATCAATCTCAGTTCGTGCTCGACCCCAAGTACATCGTATGGGTGTCTTTTTGAGTTTCTCAGTCCGACAAAATTAGCATTATATTTTGAATTTGTTATTTTAGATCTCACACTTTTCCATTATTTATGTGATTTTATCATCGACAACCTCTAATGACTTTGTCTCAAATAGTGAAAAAGCAAAAGATTGCATGTCACGAGCATCCTTCCAACCGAATAATGCTATTCACCATCACTGCTTACCCATAAACATTAATTTTTCATTTAGATAGATTTAAGTGATTTGTCATTCAAATCAGTGGTACTCTTTCCAACCTCCGAATGGCTATAAACCAATTGTATGTTGGTTTTTACCCAGACAATTAACACCTTGAAATGAATAGGAAATCTCAATTTATATTCATTTTAGAATGTCAAGTGGACCTAAAACTACACTTGGAGATAATACCATCAAACATGCAACTCATAGATATACAAATAAGGGTTTCAGCAATTGCTCAACCAGGAACCTTCCAAGTTCTAATACAATCAAGTTCCTGAGAAGTTTCAAATACAAATTTCTATAAGCTATTACCATAATCTACTTCTTTACCTCCTCATACTCTGCCTCGGAGGCATGGTCGCCTTCCTGAGAACCTCCGGTCGAGGGGGAACCACCAACAGACATGTGCTGTCCAATCTTCGATACAGCTTTGTTTGCTGAATCAAGTTTCACATTTATCTCATCAACATTATCAATTGCCATTGCGTTCCTTAAATCTGAAATAGAAGACTCAATTTCAGAGACAACTTCACTTGGAACCTTGTCCTTATACAGATATACTTGTTTAGGCCCTTCTCAATACTGTCAATTGTCGTGTTCGCATTATTTCTGAGATCAATTAAACCGTTATCTCTTGATCTTTCTGTAAATGCATCTCAGTGTCCTTAACCATTTTTTATTTCCACAATAACAACTCGTCCTTTTTTCAGTAAAAATACAAATAAAAACATGATTGGTAAGAAAATTATGTTTCTGTTTTCATACAGAAGACCAAATGTCATTAAACCCCCACTTCTATCTACATGAACTGTAAACCTTCTGCACATCATGAAGAAAGTGTGGTGGGCTATGATGTGGATGAGGGATGAGAAGGGGGACTAGAATGTAGGGTATAAAACTAGCTTCTAGGGATGGGAAGATTAGGGAAGAGATATCGACAGCGTGCACAGACGAGTATTCGCAGGAGCGAAACATGTTAGGAATTGAGTCAATATAACAAACAAGCAGCGAAAGTAATTAATTCAACCCCTCAATGCATAAGAATTAAAATGGCAGCTATAATAGGCAAATCCAACAAACTCACTCACACTGACAGAATATAAATTGAACACCAGATTTTTAACGAGGAAACCCTGCGAAGGGAAAAACCCCGGGACCTAGTCCAATAAAAATCTTCCACTATGAAAATAATGGGATACACAATAAACCCTCTCTAGAACACACTCCAGAGGCTACCATTACATCAAGAACACATATAGTTCTCAGATATCAACACCAACATCATCATAAAACAAATACACACTATAAAATGAGAAAGTCTCACTAAACAAGTGTGCAAAGCCCGGAGAAATGGAGAGGAATCTGGATGATCATCTCCAATCAAAACGTAGCCCTCTTCGCCAAGAACAACATGCTAAAATTTCACTTTAATCGGACTACAAATGGACCTCCGATATTTGGCAACAAGAATCGAAGACTTCATTTCTCTCTCTCTCGTTTTGCTCTCTATCTGTGTGTTGTGTATGTTGGTCTCATCCTTGCAATATTATAAATAAGTTTTGGGCCCAAGCAACAAAAAGCGCACTTACCATTTATAAATGGTCTCCCTCACGTGAGGGAATACCCAAAAAATCTCCCCCTCCTGATTAAGTGAGGGATTCCACCAAACCCGCTTTCCTTCTACATGCTTGTAGTTTCTCCATAGGAAATGACTTTGTCATCATATTTGAATCATTCTCATCAGTATGGATTTTATCAAGCTATAACTTCTTCATCTCCAAAGTATCTCTTCAATATGTTTGGATCTTGAGTGAAAGGTTGGATTCTTACTAAGATGAATAGTACTCTGACTGTCATAGTAGAGTATATACTTTTCTTGCTCTAAGCCAAGTTCTTGTAAGAACTTCTTCATCCATAGCAGTTCATTGCTAGCTTCAGTGATGGCTATATACTCAGCCTCTGTGGTAGATAGAATAATACATTTCTGCAATCTTGATTGCCATGAAACTGCTCCCCTTGAAAAAGTGATTAGATACCCAGAAGTGGACTTTCTAGAGTCAACATCACCCGCCATATCTGCATCTGTTAACCCAACAAGCTCGGGTTTGCTGGTGCCAAAAGATAAACATATCTTAGAAGTCCCTCTAAGATACCTGAGTATCCACTTCACTGCTGCCCAGTGTTCTTTTCTTAGTTTAGAAAGAAATCTGCTAACAACTCCAACAGAATGAGCAATATCTGGCCTTGTGCAAACCATAGCATACATCAAGCTACCAATGGCTGATGCATAAGGCACATCCTTCATTTCTTCGTTTTCTTTCTCACTTGAAGGACTTTGCTTTGAACTTAGTTTCAAAGTGGAGAGCTTACTGGTGTTGCCTTATCTATGTTGAACCTGTGCAATACCTTCTCAATATAACCTTCTTGTGATAGTCGTAATTTTTCATTCTTCCTGTCACGAGAGATTTTCATACCGAGAATTTGATTTGCAAGTTCTAAGTCATTCATCTCAAAAGACTTGCTCAACTCCTTTTTCAGCTTCTTAATTTTCTCAATATCACGACCAACAATCAACATGTCGTCCACATAGAGCAACAGAATAATAAATTCCCCATCAGAGAATTTCTTTATGAACACACAATGATCAGAAGTTGTTCTGGTGTACTTATGCTCAACCATGAAGAAATCAAATTTCTTGTACCATTGTCTTGGAGCCTGCTTGAGACCATACTAGCTTTTCTTCAACCTACATACCAAATTTCTTTGCCTTTAGCTGTAAATCCTTTTGGTTGCTCCATGTATATTTCCTCCTCAAAGTCACCATGTAGAAAAGTTGTCTTCACATCAAGTTGTTTAACCTTCATGTTCATACTGGCTGTCAAGCCTAATACAACTCGGATTGAAGACATTTTGACCACGGGTGAAAAAATCTCTTCAAAATCAATGTCTTTCTACTGACCTTTGCCCTTTCACAACCAATCTTGCGCCGCGAGCTATTTGGTTTAGCCTTTAGTCTGAACACCCATTTGTTTTTCAGTACTCTCTTGCCCTTAGACAAATCCACCAGATCATAAGTGTGGTTCTTATGCAAGGATTTAATCTCTTCTTCCATAGCTTTCAACTACTCCATTTTCTGGTCATGTTGTAGACCCTCCTGATAACAGTCTTGTTCCCCTCCATCAGAAAGTAACACATACTCATTACTAGAATACCTCTTCGAGGGCTGAAGCTCTCTAGTAGATCTTTTCAACCCTTCTTCAGCTGGTACCTCAAGAGAAATATTCTCTTGACTTTGATCTAGTTCTGCATCACCCTGTGTAGAGACTTTATCATGTCTGTCTCCTATACTGTCATGCTCTTCTTGCACATTTTCTCTGTAATCATCATGTACCACAAGATCTGGTACATGTGAAACTGGACTGATTTGTTCTTCATTGATTGTGTTTGGCTTCTTAGTCTGATCCAAATCTTCGATGGTTTCATCTTCAAAGAAGACAACATTTCTGCTCCTGATAATTTTCGTACTCACTGGATCCCACAACCTGTACGCAAATTCTGCATGTCCATAACCCAAGAAGATATAGTGCTTTGCTTTGCTATCAAGTTTGGACGTTTCATCTTTAGGAACATGAACAGATACTCGACAACCAAAGACTCCTATGTGATCAATAGATATAACTTTCTTTGTCCAAAAACTTTCTGGAACATCACCGTTCAAAAGAACTGATAGAGAAATATTAATCAGGTCAACTACTGTCCTCATTGCCTCAGCCCAAAAATGTTTAGGCAATTTTACATAAGAAAGCATACATCTGATTTTATCACAAATAGTCATGTTCATTCTCTCTGCCACCCCATTTTGCTGCGGGGTTTTAGGAACAGTTTTCTCAGGCCTGATGCCATATCTTTTGCAGTATTCTTCAAATTGCCCTCTGTATTCACCACCGTTATCTGCTCTGACACATTTTAACTACCTTCCAGTTTCTCTTTCAACTTTCAAATGAAAGTCTTTAAAAACTTCCAACACCTAATATTTAGATTTCAGAGAATATGCAAACACCTTTCTAGAGTGATCATCAATAAATGTAACATAATACAATGCACCACCTAGAGATTTACTTAGCATTGTGCAGACATCAGTGTGAACTAAATCAAGAATATGAGTCTTTCTAGATGTAGGGAATCTATGAAATGCAACTCTACTTTGCTTTCCAACTAAATAATGAGTACAAGGAATAAGTGATGTACCTTTCACATTGTGTAGGATCTTCTTTCTGGCAAGAATTTGAAGTCCATTTTCACTCATATGACCAAGCCACTTATGCCATAACTCAGTAGAGACTTCATTGTCAACAATAAGTTTTGCTTCTGTACTGTAGAGACCATTAGTCTTTTTCCCTCTGGCTAAAATAAGAGAACCCTTTTTCAGTTTCCAACTACCATCTCCAAGGTGATTATGATAGCCTTCTTCATCGAGCTTTCCAACAGAAATCAAGTTGCAGCGCATATCAGGAACATGTTTGACACCTCTGAGAAGTAACCTGCTGCCATTGCTAGTTTCCAATTGCACATCCCACATGCCAACAATTTTAGCTTTTGCTTCATTTCCCATCCTGATCCAACCAAAATCACCACTGGTATAGAATGAAAAGAAATCCCTACGTGGAGTAATATGAACAGACGCTGTTGTATTGACTATCCATGTAGTATCCTGGCATGAAAGAATAGCAAATGCTTCATCATATGCAATAAGCACCTCTGCCTCAGATGCTACTACAGCAGTCTCCTTTTGTTCTTTATGTTCTCCACCTTTCCATTTTGACTGTTCCCTTTTCCATTTTCTGCACTCCTTTTTAAGGTGCCCTAACTTGCCACAGTGATAACATTTTATCCCATTTCTTGACTTCGATTTTCCTCTGAACTTGTCACGACTATCATCACCACGAGGTTTTCTACTTTGGTTTTTCCTCCTTCTTTCTGTAATGAGTGCTTCAGAATTAGAAGAAGCACCATGCTCCTTTCTTCTAGCTTCTTCATTAAACATACTGTCTTTTACCATGTTGACAGTGATCACACCATTTGGAGCCGAATTACTCAGAGAGATAACTAAAGTTTCCCAACTGTCTGGTAAGGAACTCAACACAAGTAAAGTCTTCAACTCATCATCTAGTGTAAGTTTCATGGTAGACAACTCATTCAATAACTCTTGAAAACTGCTCAAGTGCTCTGCAACACTATTAAATTTACAAGCTTTCTGATGACAAAGGCTTTGTTTTGTGCAGTCTTTCTTTCATAAAGACCTTACAATTTCTGTCAAAAACTATATGCATCTACTTCTTTGGCTATATGATGGAAGACACTCTGATCAACCCACTGCCTAGTATGTCCAACAACCTTTCTGTTCAACTTCTTCCAATCCTCATCAGTCTTAGAATCGGATTTCTTGCCATTCAATTCAATGGGTTCAAGCAAGTCTTTGCAATATAGGATATCCTCCATTCTAGTCTTCCAAATAGAATAATTGGAAGATGTGAGTATAACCATATCACTAGAGACTCAACCAAATAGCTCCGGTATCACTTTGTTGGGGATTGAGCCAATATAACAAACAAGCAGCAAAAGTAATTAATTCAACCCATCAATGCACAAGAATTAAAATGGCAGCTATAATAGGTAAATCCAACAAACTCACTCACACTGACAGAATATAAATTGAACACCAGATTTTTAACGAGGAAACCCTACGAATGGAAAAATCCCGGGACCTAATCCAGTAAAAGCCTTTTACTATGAAAATAATGGGATATACAATAAACCCTCTTTAGAACACACTCCAGATGCTACCATTACATCAAAAACACATATAGTTCTTGAATATCAACACCAACATCATCATAAAACAAATACACACTATAAAAGGAAAAAGTCTCACTAAACAAGTGTGCAAAACCCGGAGAAATGGATAGGAATCTGGATAATCAGCTCCGGTCAAAACGTAACCCTCTTCGCTAGGAACAACATGCTAAAATTTCACTTTAATCAGACTACAAATGGACCTCCGATCTTTGGCAAGAAGAACCGAAGACTTCCTCTCTTTCTCTCTCGTTTTGCTCTCTGTCCGTGTGTTGTATGTGTGTTGTGTATGTTGGTCTCATCCTTGCAGTATTATACATAGGTTTTGGGCCTAAGCAACAAAAAGCCCACTTACCATTTATAAATAGGCTCCCTCACGTGAGGGAATACCCAACAAAGCATAGCTAGAGTTTTTTATCAACGCGTACTCCGTTGATGTTGCTAAATCTTTAGAACAAAAAAAAGATGAAAAAATTGACGGCCCAAAAAATCGAACTCCTATAAGCCAAAAATGAAGAAAATATTATATCATCTATAAATAGCTTGAAGAATGTAAAGACAAACAAGGGGATGAACAATAAAATCAATACCTTTGAACAGAAATATTCATTATATTAAACCACCGTCTACCAAACAAATGCACATAATCAAGGAAAAGCACATGAAAAAGAAGCTCCAAGTCCTAACTTGACTCTTCTTCGTAGGAAATAGGAATGGTGGTATTTCTGTGGCGACCGAATATAATTTGAGTTATATTAAGTCGCTACGACCCTACCTAAGAGTTCAAATTAAAATTTTGGTCACGAAAATAAAGTTTCGCGCAATTGTTTTTAAAATTTTTGTTAT